CAGCAATTTAACCTTAAGAAAACTAAATAATAAAAAGAAAGACAAAAATTGATCAAATAGAAAACAAATATAAAATAGAACCAACAAACTGAAAGGGCGTCTTTCAGAAAATCTGATAAAGTTGATAAATCTTTAGACCAAGAAATAAAGTAAGCACAAAAAAAAATTGTGATTCCACAGATAAATGAATTATCATAAGATATTGTAGACAATTTTATCCCCTAGAAAATCTTACCTCCATAACACAGAAAATTTAGATAATCTTATATTAAAGACATTGAATACACAGAGTAGAATCCCCTTACCCTTGGTTTCACTTTCCATGGTTTCATCCCCTTGCTCAACTGCAGTGCAAACATATCAAATGGGAAATTTCAGAAATGAATAATTCATAGGCTTTAAATTGCACACCATTCTTGGGCATCATCTGCTGCCTTCCTTAGCAAGAAGTTGCATCAGAAGTAGAGTATCCAGGACTCAAACCAGCAGTCCAGTATGAGATAACAGCATCACAAAGGGGCAGCTTAAACCACTACACAACAACCCCAGCCCCTGTTCGTGTAACTCTTATTTTACCTTATAATGGCCCCAAAGTTTAGGAGTAATGATGCTGGTAATTGAATTACATCAAAGAGAAGCCATAAAGTGCTTTCTTTAAAAAGGTGAAAGGGCAATGAGATATTGAGAGAGAGAGAAGGGGGGGGCATTTTAATATGTTTTATTATAATATTTATATTACAATATATTTTATAAATGTCCTATTTTATGATTATTTTGTGACTCTTTCATTGTGCCTAATTTATGTAATACTTTCTCATAAGCATGTATGTACAAGAAAAAGCATAGGATATATTACTATCTGCAGTTTCAGGCATCCACTGGAGTCTTGTAATGCAACTCCTGTGGATAAGGGAAGTCTGCTCTATTTTAAGATCTTTCTACAAAGAAAACCCTTGGCCCACATGATCACTGTTAAACACCAATCTTGCAAAAATTGCCGCAGGGAATGAAAGTGAGAGAAATTTTTTCAATTTATTTGACAAGAACATAACTGAGAGCAAAATATGACAAGGATGGCAGAAATATTTACACCTGAAAGTGCTTCAAAATTCTGTTGGATTTATTCCAGAAATACAATTGGGGTTAAACACTTCATAATCAATCAATTCAATTTACCACAATTACAGAAAAAAGGAGAGAACCATATCATCATCTCAATAGACTTTGCAGGCGAAATCCTTTCATAAAATACAGCATCTATTTATGATTAAACTCTCAGAAAACTAATCCCAGAAGAGAATACTGCAAATATATTGTAGAGTATAGATTTATTTTGTGACATCATTATGGCTGCTTGAAGTATATTCTGGTTTACTCCTTAATTCTCTCTGCTCAAAGTAGTAAGTTGCTGATTGATGAAGAGCTTAATAACTACACATGAAAGCCCTCTGTTTAGAAAAAAATCATTTCACAAGCTCAACGAGGCATTTAAAATGAACAGTTTAACAGGCAACTTGAAACTAAGGAAAGCAAAAGTAGCAGAAGCAAAAGGGAGAGATTCTAACAGTGATGCCATTCAAACACCATTCCCATTTATTTCCCAATTCTTTGGATGCAGCTTGGTGACATAACCATTCCACTCCAGAGTTCAGAGGTGAACTCTTTTTTACTGCTCCAGAATAGCAGCATGAGAAATGTATCTCATATATACACAAGAATCTAAGACAAATTACTTCTGCAATTTGGTAATTCCCTTTACCACAGGAATCCTCTGCTTGCCACAAGATGGTCTTGGGATGAGGCCCCACAAAATGTCCCTGTGTAGACCTTGCCTCTGACCCAAAGCCCAGCAATGTCCTAGAGGACTCCTAAGGCTAACATTGATCAGCACCCAGTAGCCAAAGTCTTCAGTGCTTGGAAGCAATATTGTAATCTCATTACACAAACTGTACTCTCCAATTCTCAGCCTAACAAGAACTATTCACTGTCCTTGTACCAAGTACCAGAACAAAGAGGCTGCAGTTAAATAAGGTAGTCAGTGAGTGCACCATCACAATGAATACATGTCTGCCAAAGTTTCTCCAGCCATAGAACCAAGTTTGTAGATTCTCAAGGAAACAGGAACCCCTTGTTATATATGAACAAGAAAGAGAACAGCAGAGAAGTTTTTTCCTAATAAAATTTCAGTAACAAAAATGTAGATCAAACACTTTCATTAGCTATTTCTTTCTTCCCCTGAACATATGTCCTCCAGCCCACAGCACTAGCTCTCCTGTCAGAACAAAGCTCAAGGCCAACAGCAGAGTGACACAGGTGCCACAGCACTTCATGAAGTGCTCAACGCTATTTAATGGCAGATTCATCCCAGAGCTCAGGTTTTACAACCATTGAGTTGGAGATGGAGGGAACTACAGAGTATGAATAATTTGAGAATGATTTTTCACTTCTGTACACAGGTGCAAAGAGTCTGAGCTTCGGAAAGGTATGAAGAGAATGACCCTTGGCTGAGAAATCAATGGTAGTTAATTATTTAAAAATACCATTACTGTCTGCATCCCAACCTTTGTGGCCTGGATTCCAGTAATGAGAAGACTCAGAATCATTTGAAAGCACTCAGGCCAGGGGACAGCCAGAGCAGAGCAAAGATAGATATGCCAACAGCTCAGTGCACCCGGAACCTACGTTTAAAGGTCCTTGTTTCACTTTCAAAGGATAGCTCTGCTAGACCTTCCCATTGTCAGTTCCAAGTTCTCTTTAGCCATGGGCAGGTCTCCCAAACTCTGTCCTGTGAGCTGTTAAACAGATCCTTAGGGAATGCACATTTATTTCTCTCATCCTTCTTAGAACAATAGTTCTTCCCCAGAAGAACACTCCCCAAAGTCCTCCTCTCCCTTTCTTTCTCCCTCCTTACCTCCCTTCCCCTTCCCAATGTTTTTTGAGTACTTACTATGTAGCTAAGCACTGCCAGGTGCAGCAGTGGATATGAAGAAATTCACAATATAATCTCTGGTCTTCATAAAAGTATAACTTCTCAGTCATTATCAGTTAACTAAAAATTCTCTTTTCAAATTCCTGCCATGAGCTTCATTGCACTGAATCCTTTCTTCATTATACTCTTTCTATAGACATACAGGAACCTCTACCTTTTCTGTTAAGAGTTAAAACATCTAATTCAGAAACTTTCCACTCTGACATGCTTGTTGTATTATTGTTGGCCATGAACTCTGATTCATTCACATGTGAACTGTGATGCTGAGAATTTCATACTCACTGTATGTTCCAGGTGTAACTGATCTTTTTTTCCCTGTCTCTGATCCCAGGGGAGACAGGGGTCCTGTCCTCAATATGTTGGATGTCATCCTGCGATTCATTTCTTATGTAACTCCCACCCCAGTTACACCACCTGTGGGGCTTTTCCCAATCTCCTGCTTCAGCCTGAACCTCATTCAACACCTTCACTTCCAGCAGATATCACCCCCTATTTAATTGAGACCTGAGGGACCTTTCCACTAAGAACTCAAAGCCCAGTGCATTAACCTTCCCTCTCTGACCTAGTCTTCTCTACAGAAAAATACTTCCCTTCTGCTGCTCAAATCCTAGAGCTAAGGGCAGACAATATCACAAATAGTGCCCGCTTCACAAGGTACAGAGTGAAGAGGATATGGAAACTGCTGATATTTCATAAGCAAAGCTATGGAATCAGTATCAGGTCAGGTAAAAAAAAATACACTCAGTTAACTGCTGATTCTGAAAATACTGTTCTCCATAATCTTTACTTGAATAATTTTATCAAGTTCTTTTCTGCTGTCTTTTCTGCTATTAATAAATCAATGAAAGCTTAGTAGTAGCTAGCACAAATTTGTATGTAGTAAATGCTCAATGAATTTCCTAAAGAAATATTTTAATAAGATTTATTTTATTTATTTGAAAGAGTTACAGAGAGAGATAGAGACAGAGAGAGAGGTCTTCCATCCGCTGGTTCACTCCCCAATTGGCTGCAACAGTCGGAGCTGTGGTGATCCAAAGCCAAGAGTCCGGAGCTTCTTTCGGGTCTCCAATGTGGGTACAGGGGCCCAAGGACTTGGGCCATCTTCCACTGTTTTCCCATTCCATAGCAGAGAGCTGGATCGGAAGTGGAGCAGCCGGGGCTTGAACCAACGCCCATATGAGATGCTGGTGATTCAGGCCAGGGCTTTAACCTGCTGTGCCACAGCGCAGGCCCCAAAATAGATATTTTGTAATTGCATCCACATTTCACTTTAAAAAATATGGACTTTCAAAAAAAATTACCTAAATGAAAGATCTCTGTGAGATCCTAGCAGAAAGAAGGGCCCATTAAAGAAGGTAGTACCTTTCTCTGAAGGGAGGAGAGAACTTCCACTTTGAATATGGCTTTGTCTAAATAAGATCGGAGTTGGTGAACTCAAGAGGCTTCTATAGCCTTGGCAGCTCATGACAAGAGCCTCGAGTGATTACTGACATCATAAATAAGAGTGTCAATTGTTAAATCAACAATGGGAGTCACTGTGCACTTGTTCCCCATGTAGGACCTCTGGCCTTAATGTTCCTTAACAGTAGAGACAAAGGCTGTAAATAATCAAGTATCAAAATGTCCATTTTTTCCAATACATTACATTTTCACGTTAAGAAACTAGGATAAGAAGAACAATTACACATATATAAGCAGATGTATTCAAATTGTTGAATGTGTACTATGAGAATTAATGTGTACTCTGAGAATTAATGGTAAAACTACCATTCAAACAGTACTCTATACTGTGCGTCTTTGTGGATGCAGTCTGTTGAAATCTTTACTTAGTATATACTAAGTTGATCTTCTGTATATAAAGATAATTGAAAATGAATCATGATGAAGAATGGGATAGGAGAGGGAGTGGGAGATGGGATGGTTGCACATGGGAGGGAGGTTATGGGGGGAAAAGCTGATATAATTCAAAAGTTGTACTTTGGAAATTTATATTTATTAAATAAAAGTTGAAAAAAATATGGAATACTTCGCGAATTTGCATGCCATTCTTACATAGGGGCCATGCTAATCTCTGTGTCATTCCAATTTTAGTATATGTGCTGTAGAAGTAAGCACCATATTTCATTTCTTTTCTTTTTTTTTCATTTCTTTTCTAATTAACAGTTTGACATTTAAAAAATAAAACAATCACCAATATTCTAATTGTGGTTCTTATTTAAGGTTACTACTTCCTCGCATTACAGATTTTCTTCCATTACTGACATGAGAAACTATAATTTTTGTAAAACTTTGGAGATTAATTACAGTAGAATCCTAAGAAAAATTTTAAAGCTCTCAAATTACAATAGTAGGAAAACAATCCAATTAAAATAGCCTATCTATTTTCTATCTATCTATCTATCTATCTATTTATCTCCCTATCTATCTCTATACTACGGAATATTACTCAGCAATAAAATGCAATGACTTGTTGACACATTCAACAATTTGAATACATCTGCTTATATATGTGTAATTGTTCTTCTTATCCTAGTTTCTTAAAGTGAAAATGTAATGCATTGGAAAACATGGACATTTTGTTACTTGATGATTATTTAAAGCCTTTGTCTCTACTGTTGAGGAACACTTTTTTTTTCTTCATTCTATTTGTTGAACTCTTTACTTAGCATAGGGTAACCTTATAAGTATAAAGTAAACTGAATAGAGATCTTTGTAAAAATTAAGAATGGGAATAGGAAAGGGAGGTAAAAGAAGGGTTGCAGCATGGGCAGGAGGAAGGGTAGGGTGGCAAGTAACACTAGGTTCCTAAATGTTCATGAAATACATGACTTATGTATCTTAAATAAAATGCTTAAAAATCAAAACATAAAATGGAAAAAGAGATCATTGATATCATACTACCTTCTAGTTTTATATAAAATGCTATGATTTTTCTCCAAGCTCTGCAGTAGCTGTGTCACATAAATTTTGACAATCTATGCTTTTATTTCATTCAATTCAAAATATTCCAATATGCCTTGTGATTTCTTTTTTAACCCATAGGTTATTTAGAACTTTGGTGTTTAGTTTTCAAACATTCATGTGTTTTCTTCTTATCAGTTATTGGTTTCTTATTTAATTCCATTATTGCAATAGAAAATACTCTGTGCCACTTTAGTCCTTTTGAATGCATTTATTGTTGTTTTATACTCCAGAAAATGGAATATCCTGGTGAAAGTTCGATGACACTGGAACGTGTATTCCTACATTTTTAAATGACAATTATAAATGGCAATGAAATGAAGCTCATTGAAACTGCAGATCTTTTTGTATTCTTCAATGCATTTTTCTTTTAGGTACATATTTCCTTTTTCTCCTTTTTTTTTTTTATTTGACAGAATTATAGACAGTGAGAGAGACAGAGAAAGGTCCTCCTTCCGCCGGTTCACTCCCCAATTTCTCCTATATTTTACTGATTTTTTTTTGACAGGCAGAGTGGACAGTGAGAGTGAGAGAGACAGAGAGAAAGGTCTTCCTTTGCTTTTGGTTCACCCTCCAATGACCGCTGTGGCCGGCACTGCAGCCAGCACACCGCTGATCTGAAACCAGGAGCCAGGTGCTTCTCCTGGTCTCCCATGTGGGTGCAGGGCCCAAGGATCTGCATCCTCCACTGCCTTCCCAGGCCACAGCAGAGAGCTGGCCTGGAAGAGGGGCAACTGGGACAGAATCTCGTGCCTCGACCAGGACTAGAACCCGGGGTGCCAGCGCTGTAGACGGAGGATTAGCCTATTGAGCTGCTGCACCGGCCATTTTACTGATTTTATGTCTACTTCTTACATCAATATTTGAGAAACAACTAGTGAAGTATCCAATGCACAATATCATTTGGAATTGTCTGTTTCTCCTCTTATTTTTGTCAATTTCCCTTTCATTTACTTTGAAACTCTAGTGTTATTTTGATAGCTATTTAAGAATGTTATGTCTCTTCAGTCATTGATCTGTTTATAATTTCGGTTGGTTTAAACTTTAAAATTTGTATGCTTTTTTAAAAGACTAATAAATAGCCAAAAAATATTTTTCAAAATAAATTTAGAGGGCCAGCGCCATGGCTCACTTGGTTAATCCTCCTCCTACAGCATTGGCATCCCATATGGGCGCTGGTTCTAGTCCTGGTTGCTCCTCTTCCAATCCAGCTCTTTGCTTCGGCCCAGGAGGGCAATGGAGGATGTCCCAAATGCTTGGACCCCTGCACCCTCATGGGAGACCAGCACCTGGCTCCTGGCTTTGGATCGGTGCAGCGCCGGCCAGAGCAGCCATTTGGGGAGTGAACCAACAGAAGGAAGACCTTTCTCTCTGTCTCTCTGTCTCTCTCTCTCTCACTGTCTATAACTCTACCTGTAAAACAAAAAATAAACAAATAAATAAATAAATTTAGAAGACACATTTGCCCATTTCAGCAACTTACTTCAAAGCTATGATAAGCAAGACAGTGTGTTAATGACATAAATAGGTATCTAGATAAATGGAATAAAAAAATTGAGGGTTCAGATATAAATCATGCATCTTTTGAGCAACTGATTTCCAACAACAGTACCAAGACAATTTAATGAAGAAAGAAATTTGCTAATCAAATGGTGCTAGGACAATAGACATTCACATGCAAAGAAGAAGTTTGAGCCCCAAGTTCATATCATAAATAAAAATTAAATCAAAATGGATAAAGAAAATAAGTGTCAGAGCTAAAAGTATAAAATTTTGGAAGAAAATATCTGTGACCTAATAAGCAAAAGCAAAGTTGAACAAATGGGATTTCATCAAACAAATGAGCTCTGCACAGCAAAAGAACCATTCAACAGAGTGAAAAACCAACCTATTCAGTGAGAGAAAATATTTGCAAGTTATATATATGACAAAAGGTTAATAACCAGAATATATAAGGAACTCAACTAACTCAATAGAAAAAAATAATTCAGTTAAAAACTGGGCACAAGATCTAAACAGACATTTATCAAAAGGAGAATGTCCATCCACCAAAGAACAGAGAAAGAAAATATGGTAAATATACACAAAGGAATATTATTCAACTATAAAGAATGAAAAAAAAATGAAATCTCTCATTTGCAGCAACATGGATAGACTGGAGGTCATTATGTTAAGTGAAATAAGCCAAATACAGAAAGACAAGTATTACATGCTAACACTCAACAGAGAAATTAAAAGTATAATTATGGTTACCAGAGGCTGGGGAAGGAAGCATAAAGAAAGGGGTGGGGAAAAGTTTATTAATTAATACTGCTATAGTTAGATTGAACTATGTAGCTCTGAAGCTCTTTTGCATGGAAGATTACTATAAATAATTTAAAGCCCTGTATATTTCTCTATTTTTTTTTGACAGGCAGAGTGGACAGTGAGAGAGAGAGACAGAGAGAAAGGTCTTCCTTGGCCGTTGGTTCACCCTCCAATGGCCGCCGCGGCCGGCGCGCTGCGGCCGGCGCACCACGCTGATCCGATGGCAGGAGCCAGGAGCCAGGTGCTTTTCCTGGTCTCCCATGGGGTGCAGGGCCCAAGCACCTGGGCCATCCTCCACTGCACTCCCTGGCCACAGCAGAGGGCTGGCCTGGAAGAGGGGCAACCGGGACAGAATCCGGCGCCCCGACCGGGACTAGAACCCGGTGTGCCGGCGCCGCTAGGCGGAGGATTAGCCTAGTGAGCCGCGGCGCCGGCCTTGCAAAGCCATAATTTTAATCCACTCTATATTCACAGGCTTAATTTGCCACTAATCATAATATTCAACAAGCAAAAAAGTAGAAAGACCACAGTTCCATAGGAGTATAAATTAGGGCTATAAAAAGACAGAATTTTGAATGTTTCACCACAAAGAAATGACAAATGTTTAAGGAGAGAGATATATGTATCCTGACTGGACATTACACAACGTATACATGTATTGAAACATCTTTTGGGACCCATAAATATAAACCATTTTTTTTGTGTTTGTTAAAAAGACTTTTGGTATCTCTGGAGGCAAGAATTTGGTCAAAGAGTTAAGACTTTTCTTAGAATGCCTTCATCCCATATTGGAGTGGCTGGGTTTGATATCTGCCTCCCACTTTTGATTCTAACTTCCTGACAATGTGGACTCGGGGAGGGGGGGGGGTGACTGCTTAAGTAATTGGGTTTCTGACATCCACATGGGAGACTTGGATTGAGTTCCTAGTTCCTAGTTTTGGACTAACCTAAGACTTGCCCTTGAGGACATTTGGGGCATGAACTGGAAGATGATAGCACACTCCCTTTCTCATAAATAAATAATTTTTAAAATCTCTGTAACCTTGGATTGTGTAATGATGTCTGAGATATTGCACTAAAAGCACAAACAACTAAAGGGAAAAAATAAATCTGCGTTCATGAAAGTTAAAAACGTTCATGCTTAAGAGGCTGCTATCAGGAAAATGAACTGAAACCTAAGTAATTAGAAACAAATATTTTCAAATAGTATAGTCCATAAATGCCTATTATCTAAAATATATGAAGGATTCTTACAATTCAACAATAAAAAGTCAATTCAATTTAAAATGTTTAAAAGTAATAATTTTCATACTTAAATAGTTTCAGCCTATTGAAAAAGTTTGCTATATATACATGTCTTTCTACAATTTCATTGTATTATATTTATTTAAATGTAATATAGCCATATTGTCTAGATTAATGTACATTTGTGGTTCATATTCTACTCTTTTCCTTTGAAAAAATTGTTATGATTGTTCTAGTCTTTTGCATTTCCACATACATTTTAAATTGATTTTTCAATTTTTAATTTTAAAAGCATACTAGAATCTTGATTGAGGTTGTTTGAATTTATACACTAACTTAAGAGAATTTGCATCTTAAAATAGTCTTCCAGTCTATGTGAATAATATATATCTCCATTTATTCATATCTTCTCCCATTTCTCTCAGCAATATATAACTCTTTTCAGCACAGAGGTTTTCGTGTATTTGTAAAGACTATCATTTACCATACTATATCCAATAAAATTTGATGATATTTTAAATTGTTTCCATTTTCTGTTTGTTGCTGATATTTAGACATATAATTCACTTGTACAAATTGGATGTATTCATCTGGTATTCTGAAAACTTGTCAAATTTATTTATAAATTCTAGTATATTTGCTTCAACTCCATAGGCTTTCTACCTACATACACAAGTCATTCATCAATAAAAACATCTTAAAATTATTCTTGTACTATTTCAATGTCTTTACTTACTTTTTCTTGCTTTGTTGCGCCAAACATCAGGACAATATTAAATGAATGCAACAAAAAATGTACCCTTGCATTACTCTTATGGAGAAACAAAACGTTTAATCTTTCACTCTTAATTATGACTATAGCTGAAGTTGAAAATATTTCGTTCTGTTGCTAGGCTGCCAAGAGTTTTTTCATGAATGAGGACTAAACTTTGGTCAATTTTTTTAATCAGTTTTGAATTGGTAATTGTGACTTTTCTTCTTTACTATTTATATGACAAATTTCATTAAATTGAAATCAAACTTTTATTACTGATAGAGACCTTACTTGTTTATACTTTATGATTCATTTTGTATATTGTTAGATTTTATTGCTAGCATTTGGTTAAGGAGTTTTGTATCAGTGTTTATAAGAAATATTTTAGTTTCCTTTTTTTATAGTATATGTATTGAATTTTGGTTAGAGCCAAGCTGACCTCATAAAACGAAGTGGAAATTATTCTCACCTTCTCTCTACTCTGGAAGTTTGTGACAGCACAATTTATTTCTATATTTTTTGGTTTCACAGACTTCAGTTTTGTTTGATTTGAACTCTCATTATTTATTTTCTTACAAACAATTTGGTTTTAGTTTCCTCTTCCCATTAGCCTCTTAAAGTAGCAGCTAAGATCACTGAATTTGGACCTGTTTTCTTCACCACTATACACAATCAAAGCTACAAAATTCTAAGAACCACTTTAACTCTCACACAGGTTTTACAGCTTGTGTTTTCAATCAATTCAAACTATGCAGATGACCCTTTTAACTTCCTCTTCCACTTGTATCTAAAAGTGCATTAATTCGCAAATATGTGTGGATTCTTTATATGTATTTCTTTTGTCCGTTTACAATTTAATTCCCTCATCATAACTTTAGAAGATGGTCGGTACTACTTTAACCGTTAAATTTTTGAAATCCAGCCATTTCCTGTTGGCCGGAGCCGGAGTAACAAGATGGCGGCGTCGGCGGAGAAACGCGGGTCGCCTCGCGCGGAGCCAGCGACACTGCCACCCTGACTCTCTGAGGCCCTTCTCCAGGCCGCGACGTCGCCGCGAAAGCAGAGAAGGCGACAGCAGCCCGGAAACAAGCGGCCCAGTGTAGTAACCGCGAAAGCTGCCCTCACCGTCGGCGGCCTGACAAAAACAAACCCGACTGCGCGGCGGTGATCCGTCCGGTCGCGCGGGAAAGCCTCCGCCGCCGCCGCCGCCCGCTCCGCCCGCTCGCGCGGTCGAGGAGCCTCAGAGGCCGCAAACGTCCCTGAAGAGCCGTGGGTGGCCTTTGCCGCAGCCTCTGTCCTCAGGATGGCGAGCAGCGGCGGCTCCCAGGCCGAATTCATTGTTGGCGGGAAGTACAAACTGGTCCGGAAGATCGGGTCTGGCTCCTTCGGGGACATTTATCTGGCGATTAACATCGCCAACGGCGAGGAAGTGGCCGTGAAGCTGGAATCGCAGAAGGCCCGGCACCCCCAGTTGCTGTACGAGAGCAAACTGTATAAGATTCTCCAAGGTGGGGTCGGCATCCCACACGTCCGGTGGTATGGACAGGAGAAAGACTGTAACGTGCTAGTCATGGATCTTCTGGGGCCCAGCCTCGAAGACCTCTTCAATTTCTGTTCAAGAAGGTTCACGATGAAAACGGTCCTCATGTTGGCTGACCAGATGATCAGTAGAATTGAATATGTGCATACGAAGAATTTTATACATAGAGATGTTAAGCCAGACAACTTCCTCATGGGTATTGGGCGTCACTGTAATAAGTTATTCCTTGTTGATTTTGGCTTGGCCAAAAAGTATAGAGACAACAGGACCAGGCAACATATACCTTACAGAGAAGACAAAAACCTCACTGGCACTGCACGGTATGCTAGCATCAATGCACATCTCGGTATTGAGCAGAGTCGTCGAGATGACATGGAGTCCTTGGGATACGTTTTGATGTATTTTAATAGAACCAGTCTGCCATGGCAAGGACTAAAAGCTGCAACAAAGAAACAAAAATATGAAAAGATTAGTGAAAAGAAGATGTCCACTCCTGTGGAAGTTTTATGTAAGGGGTTTCCTGCGGAGTTTGCCATGTACTTAAACTACTGTTGTAGGCTGGGCTTTGAGGAAGCCCCGGATTACATGTATCTAAGGCAGCTATTTCGCATCCTTTTCAGGACCCTGAACCACCAATATGACTACACATTTGATTGGACAATGTTAAAGCAGAAAGCAGTCCAGCAGGCAACATCTCTCAATGGGCAGGGTCAGCAGGTCCAGACCCCTACCGGCAAGCAAACTGACAAAACTGAGAATAACATGAAAGATTTCTAAACGTGAATTACAGTACAGAAGAAACATAGCAGATGATCAGAGCAGTATTTGTTTCTCCTCTAATCTAGAAATTTTAGTTCATAGCCAGTGGTTGTGGACAACCATTTTTGGTGTATAGAATTTAAATTCATTATAAATTGGCATGGGGCAGCATTGGTGATGTTGTATCCTGAGTTGTAGCTGCCATAAATGTGAATATTAACTGAGATAGCGAAGCATGGTGTCTGGTTTTCTGTTGCATTTTTTCAAGTGGAAGAGTTCCCTAAATGGTTGGCACTTAAAAATGGGGAAGTTGTACATAGGTCAGTTTTTTGTTAAGATCCTTTATTTTGAACTATACTGCTTTGAAATCTCATTTCAGAAGAACACCATGAACAGTCTTCAGCCACAGTTGTGATGGTGGTAAATTCTCACATTTGTACATTCTTAGCGTCCCCCCAACCAGGGGGTTTTGCAGGTTGTTCACTTAAAACGTTCTAAAATGATTGGCTTCTCGTTTGCAAGCCAGCTGATATGATAGCAACCACAGATTGCAGTGTTTGAACATAAGAAAGACTCTTGCCTGCTTACCTGTGCTAGAAATAACAGCATCTAAACCAATGAGTTAAGAAAACTTAGTAATAGATAATCTTTAGGACTCTGCATTAACTCTATAATGTTCTTGGTACTTTTAAAAAAAAATATTCGTTACAAATTTAGTTATTACAACAATATATATGTTGCTTAGGTAACTGTAATCACTGTAAACATCTATGTGGCCTGGGAATTTGTTTTTATTTTGAAATGTAAGCTTTTTTTTCTGTTTACAAGTTCATTAAAAAGTAAAATCTGAAAAAAATAAATTTATTGAAATATGTCTTAAAATCCAAACCTTTGTCTTTCTTGGTGAATGCTTTATGAGCACTTGAAAAGAACAAGGGTTCTGCTGTTGTTAAATATTCTAATATTCTATTAGTGCCAGTTAGGTTAAGTTGTTGAGATCTGTAGTTGAAGTCTTCCATATTTTTACTTATTTTCTCTAAACTTCTTACACTACTAGAAAGAGGTCTCTGACTATGATTATGAATTTGTCTTTCAATTTTGTGTTTCCATCACATGTTTTAAAGTCTGTTTTTAGATGTGTACAGTTAATAATATGTCTTCTTGATTAATGGCCCCCTTTATCAATTTGAAACATTGCTCTTATGCTTACTAATATGAGTATTCCTTTAATGAAATTAAGAAGGCCTGCCGGCGCCGCGGCTCACTAGGCTAATCCTCCGCCTTGCGGCGCTGGCACACCGGGTTCTAGTCCCGGTCGGGGCGCCGGATTCTGTCCCGGTTGCCCCTCTTCCAGGCCAGCCCTCTGCTGTGGCCAGGGAGTGCAGTGGAGGATGGCCCAGGTGCTTGGGCCCTGCACCCCATGGAGACCAGGAAAAGCACCCTGGGCTCCCTGGGCTCCTGCCATCGGGATCAGCGCGGTGCGCCGGCCGCAGCGCGCCGGCCGCGGCGGCCATTGGAGGGTGAACCAACGGCAAAGGAAGACCTTTCTCTCTGTCTCTCTCTCTCTCTCACTGTCCACTCTGCCTGTCAAAAAAAAATAAAAAAAAATAAAAAAAAAAAAAAAAGAAATTAAGAAGGCCTAATATTAAAACAACAACTCTAGTGAGGTCATGTTTAGTGTTTGGGTCGAGGAGAGACTTCTCCTCCTTCTCAATGGGAAGTTTTATTTAGTTCCCTGCAGAATACCTGGGGAAAGGAGGGTGAATTTCTTTTTTTTCTGTGTGAATTTCTTTCCATTTTTTTTTTTTTGAGATTTTGGTTTTTCCCTGTTGGCTCAGCAGGAAGAAGATCCAGCATTTGCAAAATGCTTCCTTCAGCTAAGCATTTTTCCTTGAGAGACTTACTCCTCATGATTCTTTCCTTTGTGCTATCCCCATGCCATGAAACTCACAGGCTTGGAGGGGTCACATAAACTGCCCCAAGATCATTTAACTAGCCAAACGCTTTTTTGGAGTTCAGACTTGGATAGCATAGCTGACTCCGGAGGTTAACTGTGCCTGCACTCCCTGGCCATAGCAGAGAGCTGGCCTGGAAGAGGGGCAACCGGAACAGAATCCGGCGCCCCAACTTGTGGCTGCCTCTCGTGTCTTGTTCAGAGCGAGGGAGACAGTGCCCAATAGGCGGAAGGACTCCCGAAAAGATGTGATCATGCGCAGAAGACTGGGCTCGGGCTGCAAAGCTTTATTTAATTATTAATACAATTGTGCTTAAATGTATCATTTTACTATTTGTTCTATTAATCCACCTTTTCTTTATCTCATTTTACCCTTACTTTGCATCATTTGCATTAATTACATTTCATAATTCCAGTTTATCAACAGTATTGGCTTGTTAACTACACAGTCAGCCTTCCATGTCTATGTGAGTTCTGCATCAGGAGATTCAACCAAACACATATCAAAATTACCTTTCAAAAAAAATCAATCTGTAGTGAACACGTGCAGAAATTTTTTCCTTGTCATTATTCCTAAACAATATAGTGTAATAACTATTTACATTGCTTTTGCATCATATCAGATCTTATAAATAATCTGGAAATTATTTAAAGTATCCAGGATGATTCTATAAGGCTATATGCAAATTCTTTCCAATTTAAATAAGGGATTTGAGTGTAGATTTTGACATCCACAGGGGTTGTAGAACCAGTCCCCTGTGGATTCCAAGGTATGACTATACTTTTTTGCTTTGCTTTATTAAAGATTTATTTGTTTATTATTTATAAGGCAGATAGAAAAAGAGAGAACCCTTCCATCCATTGGTTTACTCCCCAAATGACCACAACAACCAGGACCAGGCCAGACTTGAAGCCAGGAACCAGGATTCCTGACCTTATTCTTCCATTGCCTTCCCTGGTGCAGAGAGCTGGATCAAAGCAGATTAGCTAGAACTCAAATTGGCACACCCATTTGGATGCTGGTATCATAAGCAGTAACTGAACCCATTGTGTCACAACACGAACCTCCTTGGCTTTACTTTTAAGTAGTTACTCAGAGGTTTACATTATGCTCCTTAAATTGCCAGAGCACACTTTCAGAAAACATCACCATCTCATGTACAATGTAAGATTACAACAGTAATTATTGTATGTTTCCATTCCCCTCTCCTAACCACTATGCTACTCTTTTCTTATATTTCATTTCTACGTTTTAGACTCAATTACATGTGTTTTAAAGAAATTCTCAAATGATTTGTTTTCTAATATTTATAATTTTTTATTTTTAAAGAATTTATTTATTGATTAGATTCTCAGGATCACAGCAAATGCATGATAATTACTACAGCACAACTCTCAACAATTCTAATGTGATATTAACAAAAAACAGATTTCATGTGGTTGATAGATACAATTCTAATAATATAATGATAGTTCCCTTCATCCATTCCTCCCACTTCCTCTCTTTTATCTGTATTAAATTTTGAGATAGCATATTTATAATTTCAATTATAGTCAAAATCTTAATGCTCTGCTAAATAAAGAGTTCAACAAGTAGACAGTAAAAAGTCTGTAATTCAGTGGGCATATAGGCAATAGCTATAAAGAATAATAAAATTAAATTGTAAAATAAATTTTGCAGTAAATTTTAAAATATATAATCACCAAAACTAGATCTGAGAAAACTGTGATGATATTTTGATTGGGATTGTACTGAATCTGTAAATTGCTTTGTATAGTATGGACATTTTGATTATATTAATTCTATCAATCTATAAACATGGAATATTCTTCAATTTTTTGTGTCTTCTTATATTTATTTATTTAATATTTTATGATTTCCATCATAGAGATCTTTCACTTCCTGGTTAAATTTACTCCAAGGAATTTAAATTTTTGTGAGGATACTGTTTTTATAATTTCTTTCTCAGCTATGGCATTATCTATATAAATGTATGAAGGCTACTGATTTCGTGTGTTGATTTTATATCCTGCAAGTTTACCAAAGTCTCTTATGAGTTCTAATAGTATCTTATTTGGTTGTTCTATGTATAGAATCATGTCATCTACAAACAGGGGTATTTTGACTTCCTCCTTTCCAATTTGCATCCTTTTTTTTTTTCTTGCCTAATGGCTCTTGCTAAAACTTCCTGGACTTTATTGAGTAGCAATGTTGAAAGTGAACATCCTTGTTTGGTTCTGGATCTTAGTAGGAATGTTTCTAACTTTTCCCCATTCAATAGGATGCTGGCTATAGGTTTGTTATAAAGTGCCTTGATTGTGTTGAGGAATGTACCTTCTATATTCAATTTGCTTAAAGTTTTATCATGAAAGAACATCATATTTTATCAAATGCTTTCTCTGTATCCATTGAGATAATCATATGGTTTTTGTTCTTCAGTTTGTTAATGTGCTGTATCACATTTATTGATTTCTGAATGTTGAACCATCCCTGCATACCAGGGATAAATCCCACTTGGTGTTGTTAATGATCTTTCTAATGTGTTACTGGATTCAATTAGATAGTATTTTGTTAAAGACTTTTGCATCTATGTTTGTGAGAGATATTTTTCTATAGTTCTCTTTCTTTGTTGTATCCTTCTGGTTTTGGAATTAAGGTGATTTTGGCTTCATCAAAGGAGTTTGGGAGGGTTACCTCTTTTTCAATTGTTTTGAATATTTTTAGAAGAATTGGAAGTAGTTCTTTAAAAGTTTGGTAGAATTCGGCAGTGAATGCCATCCAGTCCTGTGCTTTTCTTTGTTGAAGAGGGAGGTCTTTATTACTGATTCAATCTCTCCTGGTTATTGCTCTGCTTGGGTTTTTTTCTCTGTCTTGAGGACTCAATTTTGGTAGATTTTATGTGTCCAGAAATCTATCCATTTATTCTAGATTTTCCAATTTGTTGTCATATAGCTGTTTATAGTAACTCCTGATGATTCTTTTATTTCTTTGGTGTCCATTGTAACATTTCCTTTTTCATGTCTGATTTTAAGTTCCATGGACTAATGAAAAGAATGTATTCTGCATCTGTGGGATGAAATGTTCTTTGAATATCAATTAGGTACATTTGGTTCACAGTGTAGATTAGCTGTGTTGTTTCTTTGTTGGTCCTTTAGTCTAGATTAATCTGCCCACTGTAGAAAGTTTTGAAGTCACTCATTATTATTGTTTTGGAGTCTATGTCTCCCTTTAGATCCATTAACATTTGCCGTAAGTATCCAGATGCCCTGGAATTCAGTCCAAATAAATTTACTATTGTCACATCTTCCCACTGGATGTATCATTTTATCATTGCATAATGCCATTCTTGTCTCTTAATAATTTTTTGTGTTACAATCTATTTTGTCTGATATGATGATGGCTACTCCTGCTCTTTTTAGTTTTCCATTAGCAAGGAATATCCTTTTCCCACCTTTAACTTTCAATCTGTATGTATCTTTGCTGGTAAGATGTGTTTCTTGTAGGCAGCAAATAGATGGGTCTTGTTTTTTAATCCATTCAATCCATTCAGTATCTTTCTTTTATTTATTTATTTTTTTGACAGGCAGAGTTAGACAGTGAGAGAGAGAGATAGAGAGAAAGGTTTTCGTTGGTTCACCCCCCAAAACGGCCAGTGCACTGCGCCGATCTGAAGCCAAGATCCAGGTGCTTCCTCCTGGTCTCCCATGCGGGTGCAGGGCCCAAGCACCTGGCCCATCCTCCACTGCCTTCCCGGGCCACAGCAGAGAGCTGGACTGGAAGAGGAGCAACCAGGACAGAATCCGGCACTCCAACCGGGACTAGAACCCAGGGTTCAGGCGCTGCAGGCAGAGGATTAGCCAAGTGAGCCGCAGCACTGGCCCAGTCTGTATCTTTCAACTAGAGAGTTGAGGCCATTTACATTCAAG